TGGCTCTGCCCCTGGTTGGCAGTTTGGTAAGAGATGTTTAATAATTTAACTGTTTGTCTATAACAACTACTCCCTCCGTCCCGTTAACAATGGGACAAGAGGGAGTGACACGCAAATCAATAAAAAGTGGTTTATGTGGTTGATATTGAATTGATGAAGTAAGAATAAAGTAAGAATGATTTAGAGCCACACAAACTATACCAAATTTGGTATGAGACAATCTTAGTGGGACATACCAATAAGGTAAAATGGGACAATCATAGCTGGACGGAGGTAGTAGTAGAACACACCATATTTCAAAACGTTACCTCAAAATGTTGTTATTTACAGTGTTCCTTTTTCAACTAAGTTTTCATCTAAAAACGTTAGAACCAAACAACTACTCGTATTTACTAAACAATATTTTCATTTATAGAAAATGTGCAAAGAGATTAAGCCACCGCTTTTAGGTGAAAAACAATTTTCAAACACATCAATGGTTGGGTCTTTTCTCACATATGAATACGAAATAAGACCACGTACAGTTTTTGGGTAGAAAAAAGGCCTACACACACTATCTAATGTCTGACGTGAAGGTTGAGTTCAAACGAAAAGCATGCCATGCAAAAGTTAACATTTTTCAAAACCTTTCACACGCATGCGTCACCACTTTATTAACCTTTTACTAGTATGTCCGTCCCTCTATTATTATCTTATTATGGGTTTACGATGTTTGAATGACGATTCTTATTCGAATTCAAATTACTTTTAGTAAAAAAATACATATTCAGAAATCATACTAAAAACTTTATAAAGTCCCAAATCCAGAATCAAATTTGATAAAGATTTGATACACACAATAAGATATTAAAAGTGATTTATGTTGATCAAGTGAATATGAATTGAGACAATAATAAGGGGGTGAAGGGGGTACTACATTACTACTTCAAGGCCGGGTGGGTTTGAAGGTTTAAAAAAATTATAAAATCATTTTTGTCTAAATTAACATGCATATAATAATAATACTATTTCAAGATATTTATAAAAAATTGTAAAATTCTCTTCTATCAAACCAATAATATTATTGTATGGGTGGTTCTTATTTATGAAGAAAACAATATTGGTTCTATTTGTACACTTTACCAAAGTTCTAGTCCTATTTAAGAAATTAACTCTATTGTTATCAATTCTTAAATTTACCCTCCAATGATGTGATCATTCTGATCATTTCATTTTTTTGTCTTCTCTGAGTTCTCCAATGATGTAATTTTTAAATGTACTCATTTGCAAATCTGGTCTTGCAACTAATAAATTTATCCATAACAAAAAGTTTATGTAGGAAAGTACACTTTCTGATATGTTCTTTTGTACTACATCCATCCCATTTATGTGTCTTCTTTTGTTTGACACAATTTTAAATAAAGCATTTGAAAAAGTAAAAATTATTGTTGAGATTTTAGTATAATAAAATGAAATGTTGCGAATCAAATATTTCTTTCCAAAAAGAAAATGTGACACTTATTTTTGAAATAATTCAAAAAGGAAAATAAGATAGGTAAAATTGGACAGAGGGAGTATCTTTTTACTAGATATTTGATGATAAAGTCCTCAAAATGGACAAGTTTATTAATTGAATAAGTTACGGGATCAATAACAGATACAACCAAAAGTTACCAATCTAGCTAAAACTACAAATCTTACTAAATACAATTGAACCCATATATTTATTTGTTAGATGACGAAAATTTGTTTGTTTTCTTCTGAGAATATTACTCAAAATAAGACTAAAACGGTTTGAAAATTTCAAAATAGGACTGTCATGTTTTTATTTCCAAAATAGGACTAATTACTGTCATGTTTTGGCAGTACCAGACTTCAAACATGGAAATATTTTCTAAACATGACAATAATTAATCCTATTTTGGAAATTAAAAATATGACAGTCATATTTTGGAACGTATACCATGGTGAAAATAATTAATCCTGTTTTCCTAATTAAACGTATACCATGGTGAAATGTCTTCCTAAAACTTACGTAGTATTAAAATGGAATATGTGCTCAATCTAGTGGAGACTAGTGACATGCACTATCGTTTTTTAATTAGGACATGATCTGTGATTGAGATCGACCCTGTCCACGTGTATGACTAATGGCCCTAGGATGATAATTTTGACACTACGTGGCCTACTCATTACCCTTCTAAAGGTCAATGCACTCAACATGGATTTGTTCTGTTTTTCTTTCATAAAATTCATGCACTCGTATTACTATTTTGATGGCTCCATTTGCATGTAATATAATCATTGCTCCATAGACTATATAGTATTGGTAATGATAAAAGAATTCCCAACGCTTTTTACGCATGTCGTGCATGTTGGCAGACGGCTATTGGCTAATCATTATTTCTCTTTTAGTCAAAAGCGAATTACTAATATATATGAGCACTCTTCTAGAATATGTCAAGTGTGGTAAACCAATACGGCAAAGGGAAAATAATTCAAACGAAATATTACGAGATGTGTGTAATCTAATACCTCCGTCCATTAAAGTTTGTCACAATTTCCGAAAACGAATGTCCCAAAATATTTATCTTACTTTTTCAACTTCCTTATTTGGTAAACAAATCTATACCAAACAGTGTTAAACAGTGCAAAACAGTGTCAAACAGTGTCGCTGCAGTGTGAAACAGTGTCGCTACAGTAATATCCATGGATAAGAAAATGAGAATAAAATAAAAAATGTATGGTTATAATTAAAGAAAAAAATAAATGAATACTAGTCGCAAAAGACTTCACAAATGGAAATAAGAATCATTTTTTGAGAAATCTCAAAGACGTAATTGATAAAAAAAATGAGAGAATCGGAGTATGTATTACCGACTACTACGTACTATAAAATGAAGGACTAAATTTACTTAAAAATAAAATTGGTTAAATAATAGGGAGTAGGAAAAACATTAATGGTTGTAATAGAAACGACTACCACACAACGGAGCTCTAGTCTATAGACTAATTTACTCGTGTATGTGCATTTAGTGCATCTAACATTTATTTTTAGTATAATTACCTACTTGAAGTGGAAAAATCATTAAGACATACTTGAATGTATCTAGCTTATTTTTAGTAAACGTAAAGTTAGTGATAGTGAAAATATGATTTTTAACCGGCTATACGGCTATAGTGATCTTTAGCAATAAATGCAATTAATGATCATGTAACGTTATTTATGCACTTTAAAAATAGGATGACACTTAATCCATGAGAACCTCTAACATCGTATTAGACTTCTACGTACCACTAGTTGATAGATAGTGAGTAGAACTCTGACTCAAGTATTTACCGATTATATGCACTTTTACTTAATATTTACATCTCATCACAATTATTCGATAACTTGCCATTTTTATACACATAAATATTGTGTCCCATCAATACCATACGTCAATAAGGATGGATGGATGAAGAATACTTAACGAGTGAGATGATGGGTATTAGTTATGTATGCTTCCTACCTAATCAAAGAATTGAAATCGTCATCGTATCACCATCTTATCAATTAAATTGATTTCATCTCAAACTTTACCAGATAAAACCATTAGTCAGTTCTCTTGTTCCTTTCATGTCTAGTTAATTAACGCCTTAATCCTTAATTTGATGTCGTAGACTTGTTAATTGCACGTTTGTTATATGTGTTGTTTAATTAGTAGGAATTTTGTTTAATTTCTTGCTTTGACTTTTTGCTATATTATGGTTGCTTTACTTTTTTATTTAATTTGAAAATGATCCTGATCGAGTATTACTTATGACTCCGTATTTGTCAAATTAAATCCCTAACTAGCCTAGAAGTTACTCAATATAGAATATAGGACTAAAACGTACACAAAATTCAAAAATAGGATTAAATATATTTTATTATCCAAATAGCACTTATTTTATCCTATTAAAAGAATAACTTGATAAAAACTTCTCAAAATAAGAGTGGATGAGTCAGATTTTGGGAATAAAATATTGATAGTAGTACTTATGAACTTTATCCATATTTTAGTCTTACTTAGAGAGTTTTCTCGATCATGTTATGCAACTACTTCTCAAATATAGGTAATATTGTATTGGATTGACTGTCAAATTAATCAGATCATATCAGATCAGACTTTAACATAACAGAACAGATCATCAGGTTTAAACAAGTCAAATTAAATAAGTTCGGATCAAACTTTAACAATTGTAAAATACAGACACTACAAAAAAACATGGGATTGACAGTGATTTTGGCAGGGATTTGACACGGATTTTGGTAGGGATATGCCAAATTCGTACCAAAAACACTTTGGCACGAGCTATTTGACACAAAAAATTGATAGATCTGTGCCAAAATTCGTGCCAATCTCGATTTTTTTTGTAGTGACATAGGCATATACAACATACATTATCATATCAAACCACACATGACCGCTCAGATTAAATCAATATTTTCAAACAAAATGTTGATAATTTCTAAACAAACTGATATCTATGCTGAATCAAAGTATCTAACGACAGAGGCGGACCCAGGAAAGTCATTTTGGGGGGGCGAAAATATTTTTGGGGGGGTTCAAAATACTTTTTGGAAGAGCAAAAATTATTTTTCGTATATATATACAATAAAAAAAAATTTGTTGGGGGGCGGTAGCCCCCCTGAGTCTCTACTACGGTCCGCCCCTGTCTAACGATATACTATTCCGTAATAATCTCATGAACACGGGACATATTTCTTTCTCTACGTATGCTAATAATTGCGACGTACTTATTTCGCACTAAGTAACGTACGTAAATTAAACCGGATGCATGGTATTATAATGAACCATGCATATTATTATCTATTTAATTAATATTAATTAACTAGGAAAATAAAAATATTTATAGTTTGAAAGAAAGCATTGGAATATGAATTCATTCATGCAGAGAATGATAATTAATTACACACAATAAATGAAATGATTACATGACATATATATAGGAAATTAGGAATTGAAGGTACGTACCTCGGATTCGTTTTCTAGATGGAGCTTATTGACCAGGTACTTTAGCACAAATAGGACTGTCATTCTTCCATCTCTAATTGTATAGATCATTATTAATCACCAAAATGAAACCACCCTTAATAACTTTAATAATTACTAATCGAGAAGCAAATTAATGCATGTATGAAATTAATTACGTGCACGTAGCCACGCAAGGCACGTGCGTAACCAATTAAAATAAATTCTTAATAATTCTACGTTTTTAGATGCATGGTTAAATTATACGCAGTAATTAATGAATATGGGAATTGAATGAAGTAATAAATACTGACTTGATTCTTATGTATTTTTTGGATATCTGCCGCAAATAAGGTTCTTTTCTTCTGCATTGGTTCCCAATCAAGAAATAATAATTATCAATGGGATGGCCATTAATACGTCAAAGTAGAAGGAAAAAAGCAACATAAATATTCAATATTATAATCACTAGTACAAAATAATGCCTTACCTACAAAATTTGGGCATAAAATATAAATTCGCACACCAAAATAAATCATTTGTGGGGAAATACTTTGACTATAAATATTTTTTCCATACAAATTACTTATGTGATGTGCTTTTCGTGGGGCTAGTCTTTTCCAATAAACACAAAATTAAATAGAAATGAATATGAGATTTAACGTACATATTTAAATATGAGATATTGGGCATATATATGGTAAACCCCAAACATTGAGTCTATTTATATACTTCATGCACTCCATGTTGTACCTCCCGAAAAGTATAAGAAATTAAAGTTCGAGTAGAAGTGATGATTGACATGAAGGAGCTAAGGTGCATGTAGGAATTTCTCGTTTTGTTTTACATCATATATATATATATATATATATATATATATATATATATATATATATATATATATATATATATATATATATATATATATATATATATATATATATATATATATATATATATATAGGGGATGGTTCAAATACAAAGACCTCTTCCCATGCAAAGTGAGAATGAATCTTGTGCATTCATTTCCACATCTAATGACTCAAAATGAGCCAAAAATGCACAAAATTCGACCAAAATTGCGGTGGCAATTTCGTAAATATGTTGCACTTTTTCGTTACCGCGAAAAAGTGCAACAGAAACACGCAAAAGTGCAAGCGAAACATGCAAAAGTGCATATTTTCACACTTTGCACGGGAAGATGTCTTTTTATTTGAACTCTTCCCTATATATATATATATATATATATATATATATATATATTCACGTACACCTTATCAAACTAGGAAAGTCTATAGTGCCCATTACATATATTGCCGCAAACTCCCCACCAATAATTTGCAGACTTTAGTAGGCATGCCGCATTATCATTTATCAACATAAAAAATTAGGTACATACTTGACACCCTATTTGTTAACACTGTTTTTCGACTTATCAAACTTATCAGTCAATTTTTTCATCAAACACGTAACTTTTGTTTTCGTCCGCTGAATTGTGTAATAAAAAAAGGGAGCTTGAAGTTACTTTTCTGGTTGTATTGACTGAGGTTACTGTAGATGACCATTTTATCTATTTTTACACATAATTTTTTATTTATTTTATTAATAAAATATATTTAAAAAAATATATTTTTCTTAAATCAACATAATCAGCCAATGCAGCCACTTCAGCCATAACTTCATAAATTTCAGCAGAATCAGCCAAATCAGCTGATTTTCATGTTACCAAACGGGCTCGAAATTTACTACATCAAACAAAGTTAATTTAACGGGAAAGTTCCGGAAATAGGACAAACAGTTTGAAAATTCCAAAATAGGGTTGTCATGTTTTTTATACCCAAAATATGATTAATTACTGCCAAGTTTCGAAAATACTGCCATGTTTGAAGTCTGGTATTGTTAAAACATGGCATTAATTAGTCCTATTTTGGGAAAAAAAACATGCATGACAGTTCTATTTTGGAATTTTCAAACTTTTTAAGTCCTATTTCGGATAATATTGTCTAATTTAAATAATGAATTCATTATATAAAATGGCACTATCTATTATTCGTACCTCGACCATATCCGGAATGTTGTCAAAATGTTCGGATATTTGGTTGTTTTATACTCGTACTTTATATTTATATTTACGTTAATTACACATATCTGAATAAAGTTGGTAATTAAAGTTTTGAATGGAAGAAGGGACTACTCCTGTTTAAGCAATAAATTCTCCAATGTTTAAAGCATAATTGGTTTCTCCAAATATAACTAGTATGGAATAATTATAATTATGTTCACGAGTAAATATATACTACTGCGTACATGCGTTCCTAAAAGATTTTTTAGTTTGAATAATAATACAACTAAAACAATTTAAAAATTTCAAAATAGAATTGACATATTTTTATTCCCAAAATATGACTAATTAATGTCATGTTTTGGCAATACTAGACTTCAAACATGACACTATTTTCTAAGCATCGCCGTAATCAGTCCTATTTTGGGAATAAAAACATGACGGTCTTATTTTGGAGTTTTGAAACTGTTTTAGTCCTATTTCAAGAACTTTCCCTTTTTCTTTTGATTTTTTGGTATGCCATTTTTGTTCGCCCTAAGTTTTAGTGTTAAGTACATTATTGTTTAACAATCCTTGACACTATTACTTAAAATTACTCCGTATTACTCAGGGGCGGACCCAGGAAAGTCATCTTGGGGGGGTGAAAATATTTTTTGGGGGATTCAAAATAGTTTTTCGAAGGGAGAAAATTATTTTTCATATATATATATACACTAAAAAAAATTCTTGTTGGGGGACGATAACCCCCCTGGGTCTGTACTACGGTCCGTCCCTGGTATTACTTAAGAATAACGGATCATGGAATAAATGGATTGGAATTTGCTTACTATCATTATTATGAGTAATTACTTTTTAATAAATACTATGTATAGGGTGAATTCCCTAAATAGGAGTAAAAAAGTTTTAAAATTCCAAAATAGGAGTATCATGTTTTTAATTTTATTCCTTAAATAGGATTAAATTTATGCAAAAGTTGGCATTAGTAGAGTTTAAATTTTTCCAACCATGCTAGATTACTTCTATCAAGGGAATAAAAAACATGATACTCCTATTTTGGAATTTCAAAACTTTTTTTTTTTTGAAAAATACGGAGTAGAAGAGAATTTAACTCAATTTCCGTTATGGATTTCAAAACAAGTGGGAGTGAAACTTCTTTTCGGTCAAACGTTATAACTTACTGATTTTGAGATGCTTGTAGCGAAAACCATATACCGGAATGTTGTCGCCGCGGAGGATCAATCACTCTACAATCAAAGCCCGGGAAAACTACTCCGGCGCCGGCGTAGACTAGCGGAAATGCAGCCGGCCGAGGAACGAACCGGGAACCCGTCACCGGCGGCGCGTATAAAAACGGCGACGAGGACGACGATCCCGCTACTGGATGCCCCTGTGGCGGAGTAGCCATGACGGGCCTAAAAGCCCACGGCGGATGTTGCAAGATGTTATTATAATTAGACAACGTGGAACTATAATACCCCACGGCGGATGGCGGCGGAATAGACTGCGGATGCCGGAGCTCCGCCGCAGTACTAACATAACCCCCAGTTGGTCTTCCCGACGGCAGTAGATCCAGCTCCACGGGTCCTAAGCGAGTCCTACCATGCTCCTCATGATCACGACCGTCGTGGTTCACGGTGGCTGAGCTGTTTCCTCCGCCGCCGACGGTCAACTGAAGCCAGTCTTTATGATCATCATCTTCTTGGACGATGTTACTATTATTAGTAAAATAATCTTTACAATAACTGGTGGAAGCCTCCTCGTTATTAACATATCTTTCATTAAGATCAGTTATTGATCTATCATCCTCCGCCATTAATGGATTCTCTAGAACAGTTCCTCCTAATAAACAAATTCCCTCTCTATAGGGATAATAAGACAGAAACTCTCTCGTCGGTGTAGATCAATATCCAGTTTGCAGAGGCTTTCAAGATCAGATTATTCATTCAAACCCCAAAAACCACACATCCCAAAGTCCCAAATAAACTGATAATCAAAGAAAAAACGACGACAGAATTCGGGAAAGCTAATACTAGTACCACGTATAATGTTTTCAATGATCCAGTAAAAGAAAGCCATATTGTATACATATGGAAGGAAAAAGCCAGGAAGGGTAATTAAATTAAATGTATGTAAACTTAATTTGGGCTTAAATGGAATACATGAGAAGAGATCGTTTGTACTCTACAACAACCAAAAGAGGTAGAAGAAAAGGAGAACGCCGTATTGTTGATATTTGTGTTGCGGATGAGGAATCAATAGAGACATAATTACATACGCCTTTACTCTTTAGCAGGCCGGGGTCGGAGAATAGAGAGAGCTTTATCATATTAATAGACTAACTCAACAAGACTAATAACATTGAGAATAACTATCTCTGACTAAAAGTATGAGTCCATCAACCTTACACTTACGCTTAGAAATGATCACCGTCTGAACATGAATCGTTAAGCACTTAACGGAATGATCATCTACATTCTTCCAACGACATCATATCTAGCAGAATTGTTGATCATTATTAGAGACCTAAAATTAAAAACATCAACGAAAAACAGAACAATGTACACAAACATAACGTGAAAATAAGACCATAAAAAATAAAATAAACGATAGATACTTTAGTATGATCGATTGAATGTATACAAAATCCCAAAATTAGTAGCAATATTGACACATATATATTAGGATATGATTTACGGGCAAAATTTCAAGAGTTCATGAATTTTAAAAGTTTAGGTGTATGAAGTGTGAAATTTCAAAAGTCTACAAAAGTCTATGTATATTCAATGTACACTTTAAAAAATCTATAAAAGTCTAAACGTATTCAAACTTTCATTCATTCTTATTGACTTCTAAATTCATGAATTCTCGTCGACTTTGAACATATTTAAGCACGATGATTCTCTGCAATTGTCTTTTCTTCTCACCAAAGACTTTCGTGGACTTTTATGTTATCTTCTACTCGTCACAAGTACATGTACATCCCGGTTGCAGATTTGGCTAATTATTTACCTGTGACATCAAACTGTCTAACGAGTCTTGGACTAATACCGTTAACAGGTCCTGGACTAGTACCGGCTGGGTCAGGAGGTCGCGCGGTACCAAGATGGTCTCAGTATACAAGATTTTAACATTAAATTCTGGTTTTTTTTTCACTTTACAATTAATAAAGTTGAACAAGGAGATTCTACATTAATACTCATACACAAAATAAACTTAAAAAAATTTAAAAAAGTGATACTCCCTCCGTGCCTCTAATATTGATATGGATGGGAGTGGTGTGGTTGTTAAGAAAAGTAGAATTATGTGGTTGATAATGAGTTGATAAAGTGGAAATAAAGTAAGAATGAATTAGAACCACATAAATGTTACCAAATATGGTATGAGACAGAAATAAAGGGACATCGAAAAATGAAAAAATGGGACAATTATAATGGGACGGAGGGAGTATTTTATATATGGACTTACGAAGAAAATGTAGGGATGAGGTCGGTTCAGTTCATGAAAGAAAATAGGAACCACTTGAAGAACCGTTAATCCCCTATCGATTCGATTTTAAAAGTTTTTGGAAGAACTGATATAAGAATCAATGGTATTACATCGGTGCAATTCCGGTACGTTGTCAGTTAACTATTAAGAAAAAAATATTTTAACTATTACTTTATTTCATCGTTAAACCGTCAACACAAAAAAATATAATTTCAAATTAATAAATATTTAATCGTAAATAAGTAAACAAAATCTAACAAGCTAAAAATGAAAAGAAAACAATTATTAAGAAGAAAAGCTCGATTGCACTTATGCTTGTACCACATGTAGCAATGAGTGTAACGCTTGTGAAACGATTAATGTTCCTACTCATTGAGTTGTGTAATATAACAATTGATCATAAGGAGACCGAGTTGAGCATTCTTCAAACTTTAACTTTTCTTTTTAATAAAAATAAATTTGGATGCTTGTGCTTCATTTATTGATGTAGAACTTTGCGCTGCTAGATGAACTATATTTGTTTCATTTATTTATTTAGTTGTTTCTTATCATATTATATAGAAAAAATTGCTCACGGTAGGACTTAAACATAACATTTTTTCAAAGAATGATCATAGGTTTGATTTTCATTTTGTTGGTGGTGAATCATTCTGATGACGATGACGACAAACTCCAGTGATGAAGGCGGACAAGCAGATCCGTAGCGACGATCTAAGTGAACATTTTGACGACCGACAGTGAAGGTACGAATTTAAAAGTTTATGGACTCTTTGAAAGTATAAACTTTTCCATGAATTTAAAAGTCAATAGATTTAATTTATAAAAAGTCCATGGATTTAAAAGTCCATAGTTAGTTCATTGACTTTTTTAAAAATCCATGAATTAAAAAAGTTCACCATAATCCATATTCAATACACCTAGCGTAGAATATCTATATATATATATATATATATATATATATATATATATATATATATATATATATATATATAATAAAGACAATTAGGAACTAAATCACGTCAAATACCTTATAGTCTAATCTGATGACATCACTGCTAATCTTCCATAAAGGAGGCCAAGTCACAGGTTCAAGACACATCCGAGTCGTGAAGAATGTTCACATTATCATGAACAACTACTATAATAAGTTTAGAATAGGTTTAGAAGAATACTTTTAAAAACTATACCATATTTATTAGACTCATTATATTACACATTTAATGTCACGCCCCGGACCTACCCGGACACATCAACAACCCGCCGTACAGTACGAATAGTCAACCGCAGTTCAACACATCTATACTATACAAGGCGTCTGGAATATCATTCACACATAGTACATCCATAAACAAACATAATGTAAAAACGTTCATTAAAGCAGCGGAAACAATATTGCAAGTGTTCAAGCCACATTTGGCATAATTAGGCATGCAAGCCCCCAAAATAATTATTCAGAAAATAATATCCATGAGCACTATTTTAATTGTTTTGAAACAGAAATGGAGGAAGCACGAACCACGTCTTCTCTCCTAGAATCTTCCCGAAGCCACGGGCAATGGTAGCAAGCTCAGCTCCTACCTGAAATTGTGAGGTGGCCTCCCTCGTGAAGGGGAGGTCAGTACTTGGAAGCATTTGACAAGTACAATGACAACTATACTAAGTATAATCAATGTTTCAATTTCAAGACCCTCAATATAGGGTGATATTATATTATAGGTCATAACCCTCGGTTACCCCTTTATAAAATAATGTACTTACTTTATATAAAGTCAAGTAGTCGGCCTGTGGGCACATATTCATTTAGAATTCACCATTTTAATTCCCCGTGACTACTAGTCACGTCAACCCCGTAGGGTTCCCTTGAGTCCCGATTGTATAGCAAGGGCTCGGCCCGACTACATTTCTATACAACCCTTCAACTCAATTTAACACATTAAAATTGTATGGCAAGGGCTCGGCCTAACTACGTTTCCATACTAACCACAACTTCGTGGTCAGGGCTCGGCCCAACTACGTTTCCACGAAGATCACAAATACACGGCAAGGGCTCGGCCCAACTACGTTTCCATTCTAATCACACTACATGGCAAGGGCTCGGCCCAACTACATTTCCATGCAATCCTAGAGTCCGACTCTAATTCATTTTTGAAGTCCAATTCTCAAACAAATCATATGCCTAGAATCAATCCACTTGGGTAGCCTTTAGACATACCCCTAACACACCTTAGTGTTCATTCAATTCAACCTTAAAGTATCTCTTAAGACTACTTAAGGCAATTCTATTCACAATCCTATCCCTTAGGATTAATTCCATTATATTATTCTCCCGACTAGTATTTTAATACTAGTAGGTTAGTCTTAGAACATATCAAGTTCTTAATTCAAATTGATATTTCTTTTCAATTGATTTTCCAATCCAAATATAATTTGATCCCAATATCAAAAATATCACTTTTATCCATTCATGAATTTCATACATGAAGTAAAAGTATATTTTATCACAATATTTACATAGTTAATTCCATTATCATGCCATTCCTTTCATGCCACATAATCATACACAATTTATTCTAAATTTGTATATCATGCTTCATTTACTCATATCAATAGTATTTTCATTTAAGCATTATTACTCATTAATAATCCATGAAAATCACTTTTAATACCTTAGGTAATCTTATGAAATTAACTCACTAATTATAAGCAATATAGTCAGTCATCCTCACCTCGTGATGTGCTACAATAGTTGCCTTTGTTAAGCCCCTCGATCAATCCCTGTTCTAGGTCGATTGAAAGTGGAAAACTGGACTGCTGGGCAAAAGCCGGGCGGCTTTCGTAGTCTGCAACTACAAACAACTCCTTTGGTGTGGCGGTTTCCGGCGATTTCGACTCCTATCGATTTGCCAACCCTTCTAAGTTAATTACCACCACTTTATATCAATATTCTACACTTTTAAACGTGTAGAAATCATGATTTAATCCACCATATGATTTCTTAAAAATCATACACAATAAAACTAGTTAAAAGAGTAGAAATTGTATTCTTACCTCTTCTTCTAACCTTTTCTTGATGAGTTTTCTCTTCTTCTCGATTTCTCCATGTTAAATCTTTGTGAGCGGTTTCTCCTGGAGCTCTCCTCTCTTAGTTGGTTCGGATGGTTCAAAATGGAGGAGGGGATATCTATTTCTCAATCAAGTTGAGAAGATAATGTAGGAATAGTCCATGAGGGGTGTGTGTTTGTCTACAATCACTCTTCCATGTGTGAGTCTGCCCCACTCCATATTTTGTTGTCTCATTCCATCATTTGGAGTGTACAACACATGTGCGAAAAATCCCAACTCGGTGTAGGGAGTCCCTCCCAATTATTCGTGCTATTTCTGGCAGGTTAGGTCAAAATAGCATTCGGTTGCCCCAAACATTTTTCCCAACTTCGGTTGGCATTTTATTGGGCTTCTATAATTATCACGATGTCCCAACTAAACATTTGGTAGCCCATTCTCAATATTACGGACCCGATAAATAATTTAATTAATCACCCATTAATTAAATACGCCATTCTTTTACACGAAAATATTCGCTTGAAAATTCACATACATACTGAATATTAAATTCAAGTACATCCGGGTGCGGTGACACATTTAATTTACACCATATGTGTGTGTTACCCCCATTAATTTAATGTATGCGTATAAACTTTGAACAATACTAACCATATGATACGGCCGGAACTGCCGTTATTCTCTTTAGTTTATACATTTATATATATTTAATTAAAGCTCGTGAATGAATGAAATTTAATAAGAACAATACGAATTGAACAATAAATTTTATTGAAAAATATTTGGTGTACACTTTTTTGTACATTTTTGACACACTTGTCTGTTTACGCAAACAGTGT